CCCTTTGCGTGATTTAGACGGGACGTGTAACCTCTCTGTACGTGCATAATGTGGGAATTGGAAGACCTGTCTCGTGCGATTGTTGTGGAGACAGTGGTCGATTGACTTAAATGGGGGATTGTGACTGCTGTCACTTCTCCTGTGTGGCTCAGTAACCCCCCCTGGTGGTGGTAAAATTTTAGGAAAAGCAGCAGTAGTTTTGTAAAAGGTTAAATCTTACCATGACATCAGTCATTTCTGAGTTCTTCAAAGAACTACATAATCTGTTACATGGACACATAAGGCGGTTGAGCGAACCATAGCGTTTTGTTGGACTTGAAAATGAAAGTCAGAGTGGATTCTGGGAGGAAAACGCAGTTCTTCAGCTTCCTCCCGTTTGGGCTTCTGAAGATGGGTATTTGTTATCCAGTGTGGTGAAAATGAATGCCATAGTTAACCGTATTGTCTAACGAGGCAGCACCCTGAGGATGAAAGAATGAGTAGCTCTCCAGATAGTCTCTGCTGAATGCAATTTAATCCTGAGTGATTCATAAGTCCGTTCAGAGTCCTGCAGGGCCTCAGGTGTGAGTACTGAGCCTGGGACTCCATTCCACTGTAGGTGCGGGAGGGTGGCTGATGTCGGCGTTCCTTCAGATAAAATCGATTTTTGCCGTATTAGAAGTATGAAGTCACTTGGAAAAGTCACTCAAGGCATCATTTGATGTATAAGTCAGTCCAGCAAAACCTTCTCATTCTTGATGTCGCTTGCATAGTTGTCTGTTCCGTCAGGTGAAGTGGGGAAGAGCCCCGGGCCAGCTGCGTGCACGCTGGCAGAGTCCAGGGTCAGAAGAGCTAAAGAATCAGCTCAGCGTGCTAACGGCACCCCGAGCCAGTCGCGCTGCGCACACGGGCCTCAGCTCACTGCCCCGCTTCCTGAGAGGTAGATCCAGTTCTGCAGCTGTGCTGAAGAGAGCGCTCTTCCGCGGGTTGTCCTCAGGAGGGTGCTGCTTCCAGTGTCGTTTCTTCTTCAAGCTCTTTGGACGTAGACCCAGGAATCCTGGAGTCTAGTCCCTGCTCTGCCGGTAGTTAGCACGTGGCTT